TGGCGCGCCCAAATGTTAGCAAAAACTGATTAGTAATTTTCTCACAAATCTCAAAATCCGTTTAATTTTCTTCCGACCAAGACTGAAATAAAATCTGGTCATATTTGCTGCCCGCACAGGGATCTTATAAAAAAAGGAAATGTCAAGTTTCTTATATTTGGCCTTTACAAACGAACAAATGCAACTGATTTAAAACATACCACGCTCAGATAACAGTAAAACTCTTTTGAAGTTGGAAAAGAGACTTAGCATATACGATGCATTTTATATGCAAATACATTACGTGAAGGTGTTATCAGTTTACGAAGCACAAACACTCGGCGCAGGGCAACGCAAAACTCAAAGCGATCTTCAAGCGTTTTTATGGAGATATCGCCAGCCCCCTCCGTGGGATTTAATGTGCTTCGTTTTTATGGAGACACGCAACCACGAGAATCCTTGATGCCCCCGTAAAGAAATCGGGCTACAATTAAGGATGAAAGTTACTGGATGAAACGAAACCGCGGTATCAGACCTCGAATTCCGTGGCGTCTAGAAAACGTGTAACTGGACAGTCGTAGTGCACAGACAACTTTTTGTCAAACAACCCTCTGAAATAGCCAGAACACGCTAAACGGAAAAAAACTGTTTTAGAAGATCATGGTTTATTAGAATGTGGATGCTTTGAACTAAATGTTTGTCAACTTATATATGGGCACAAATGTTATGATTTTCTAAAAAACGGAATTCAGCAAAGGCTTACTTACTTAAGTTTACGGAATTTCAGCACAACACGATTTCAACGTGAAAAACGCTAACTTCAAAGGCAGACTATGATCAAAGTCGAGCGAAAAAATCAGCATTCTCGCGGATGAAGAACTCACCTGAGTGGAATATCATTGCAATTAAGCCGACTTATTTAATTTTCGTATTGACCGTTAACAGTCATGCGGGGCAGTGACGGTAGAAAATCGATCAATGAAGGGTGACTTCAGCTTCCAATGGTTGGCTGCAAATCGTCTGCAAAATGGTTGATAAACCTTCCACTACAAAGCACTAATTCTTTGTGCTAAATGACAGCCTTGTCCTTTCATCATTCAGTAAATATAATCCACAACAGTGTCGAATGCAGCGCATCCAGCGGCCGATATTGACAGTGAGTGATGTCGAAAAGCTGTTTGCGGAGTGTAAGGAAGAATGAAGGTAGTAAATTGGGTGATAACCAACATAACCGGGTAACAACGCTATAATTTATCTGCAATAATTGGAATTTGGTTACAAATATAACTATTATGACTTCAGAATCAGCAATGTCAAAGTAAAGGCAAATAAGTTTGAAATAGTAAAATAAAGTCGTTTAATGCTAGCCTGTACTACACACGCCAATCTGGATTAAAGGGCCCCGCACATAGCATACGGTCACCTGATTCCTCCTTTTCAGACGCAAAAGGCCGTAAAAAGTAAACCAGCCGCGCGAACGGCATGTACTGCTCAGAGACGACGGCCACAGATTAGCGAACATCTGCCGACGGGAGGATCTTTGTTTGTCTTGGCAGAGAGTCGGCACGGAGTCTGGAGGATGTAAAAACCCCAGTAAAGAAGTCTGGTTTTCCTATATCATACCCTTCTGCCTAAACTATTCTTGTAGCTGTGCAGTTCAAACAGAACGCAAAATCGAAACGCGCAAGTTGGAGCACAAAGTGGCTGTGCGACGAGGTTACGAACTATCGCAGTAGTCTGCTGACGCCTTCTAAAACTGGTCATAAACCCAACAATGCAGCCGCCAATATAAGTGTCTGAGTCGAGATTGGATTGAGTCTCGGGACCAAGAAAATAATTCGGTTAATCGAAGGATTAATTTGTCGCCCTAGAACAGAGTCACGCGCAGTCACCTCCGGTCAAGCGACATTGTTCACTGATAAACTAACAGGCCGTACACATGTTGCCTATGTTTTTACTGTCGTCCTCTCTCACGATGAGTCCACGTGTTTGAAAGATTAAACAAATAAAGTCTTTTTTCTCACTTAGACATTCCAACCTTCTCTACCATTCGAGAGAAGAGAGTGCTTAGTAATTAGAAGAACGTTCTAACTCGCAAAAATGCTTTTGAAATAAACTGCGTAGCATTTTACCATTTCCCATCTAAAGTAGTATCTTACCATTTTTCTTCAAAATCCACTCTGTGGACCACCAGGTAGTCACTTAAGAAACTAATTAAGTTTTTGCTTTTTCGCCGTTGATAAATATATAAATTAATCACGTCAATGTACACTGTCTAGAATAATTTTACTTGCAGCAAAATGTGACAAATGTCCCATCCCGACAGTCATAAGGTATTTTGTAATTATTAGCCATACTGACAACACGAATACTAGCCAGAAGCCCGGACGCTCGTGTCTCGTCCACCAGGTGCAGATGTCAGAGGCAACTGAGAGGGGTTCGACTCACAAGCGTGTCGCTCAGCCTTCTCCGTGTTTTTCTGGTATAGGAAATACAGGTTTACCTTGCCACATGAGGACTGATGAAACAATTTCACCCAAACGTACAGGGCTTTTGAAAATAAATTACACAGGTTGTAAGTGACAGCAAATTCTGGGGTCGGGCAATGTCTTCAAATGATCCCCAGTCAGTGGGGAAGAAGTTGTAAAATAATTTTATGCACAAAAGAATTTGCTACTAAGGCAAATGCACGAACAAGAAAGCACGCCTTTGGGCTCCCCTTTATCGGGCCTAGTCACTAAAAGTAGTTCTTTAACGGTAAGGAGGAAAAGGAACCGCTAGACCGACCACCCAACACATTTCCAGTCACCCCGATACAAACGGAGTGGTGACTTAAAAAGCCCGCAGACAAAACGCCTGTCACTCATTCCCCGAGAGGCCGAGGCAGCGAGAGGAGAGAAAAGTCGATCAGCATGAGACCGATGAACGTGACATGCCACTTGGGATTTCGGGTCGATTAAATGCATTTTACGCTCTGACATTGGAGAGCCGATCAAACTCTTCGAAACCTCAGCATTCAAATAAACACGTTCCGGTGAGCCCATCTTTTGGTTCACATAAAGCTTAGCAGACAGACACCGCACAGCGTTGCATTCTTTTCAATTGTGTCGGTATTGAATGCTTCAAGAGTAGCAAAAGAGTACAGAAGACAAAAATAAATGTCGGATTGGCTTCTGTATATCAGTCTAATTTGCTAAAAATGAAGTCTATGGGAGACTAGATTATCCAAATTAATAACCTAACAAAGCTTCGGCTAAGTGCACTGGACTGAAAAGGTTGGATGTTTGTCTTGGCAAATCAGAAGAAAACTAACTAATCAAAAATAACACTAATTGTTTAAAACAAGACAAGCACAAGGTTTTAAAACTGCAAGACAGAGACAGAAATTTTACATAACTAGACGCAGACTTACACTCTAAAAATGGTAGGCGTAACATATCACATGTAAAAATCGCAAAACTTGCGAATTTTTGATTCCGTATGACCTATAACTAACGAAATTCCATTATGAAAACTTATTTTCCAAAATAAGCCCTTCGTATAAGTTTGTACTTTAGGTTGTAGTATATTTTTCAGTCGCTGAAAACAAATCTTACCACAAAGGAAAACGTTATACAGCAAGGAAAAATATAAAAGAAGGAATATCTTAGAATACTGCTTTGAGGCGTCAGCAATAACCGCTATAAATTTCGGCAGCAATGCCGTTCTGATGAAGAAGCCTTTGTCAAAAGTTCCGACCTATTACAAACAAAATGTCATGACTTTTCGGGTATTACTGTTAACTCAAGCGTGGTCGGCGTTAAGCGGTTTTGATACTCTGCAGCAAAGTGGACACTTCCGTTATGTAGCCACGAAAAGCTGACCTTAAGTAAAAGAGATATATGGAAAACATCAAGAATGTAAAGTATACAAGCAGACTTGTTGGATACGTTAACTGCTTCTTTAGTTTCCTTTCCGTTTTGGACTGCCAAAAACGCACATAATTAAAGAACAGTTTTCGAGCATCAGATCGATTTAATTAATAGCATGAGTTTTGCGGCTACCAACGAAACAGGCTGAGTATAAGTTGAAGCCAAAACTCCGAATGAGAATTCAGTCAATCGATTTACCTAGCTGAGATCGTCGCATAGAGTTCTGCAGAGCTACTTCCAGTCTTGCGTCATCGATCAATGATTGGCTGTCATGCCCTATAATTGTCGCTCGTTCGGTTGTTGCGACTGTTTCCGACGATGCAAGAGTTCAAATACTCAGAGAAGTAAACAAACTGTTTGGATGCACTGTCAATCATATTTTCTTGTCAATAAACCTGGAACTCGGAATTTTTCCTCTATGAGCAGCAGAAGTGAGCCGGGTCGGTTAGTCTTTCGAGTAAGTAAACTCACTGTCAGATTTACCCAAGGCAATAAGTATTCTAATATAGCCAAATCGATAGTATTGCAAGCTCATGTCTAGTTAAAACAGTACGGCATTCTGATGAAGCCTAAGTCCAGATCAGTCCAGTCAATAGCAGGCTCTAGTGATCGAGTTCATAAAGTCGAGGAAACTAACGCTTACCCCAGACACGGTGCAAATATTAGCAAGATGAGATGGTAATAACGCTAATTTAGAGGCTGCAAGACGTTGCTGCTACTGATTAAATGAGCAATTTCTATTTTGCACGCCAAACGTACTAAGGATTGCAAATCAATTAAATTGCTCGAAAATGCAAAACAGCCAGCATCTAACCCCACATACCTCGAAACGCATGCCTACATATAGCCTGGGCATACTCATCCCTGTATGACTGGAAAAGAATATCTGCGCGCATTTTAATCCTATTTGCGCAGATATAAAAGGGTCTGCAGTGATGATCTGTTAATGCATGCTTAAAGCGCGTTGACTGACTGTACTCTGCCAATAGAAGCGAAGAGACGAGTCCCAGGAAGTAGTCTTGAAGAAGGAGACACGATCGCCGGGACCAGAGCTTTATGAGCCTGACGTTGCTGCAAAAGGAGCTGCAGTATTTATAGGGTGCAGTACTCATGCTACCGCAAACCTATGAACATTCACGCCCCCCCCCCCTTCTTTCGGGATCGTCGCACTTGGTGAGACCCCAAGATACGGCTTTGGCCCGACTCCATGGCCTCCCTAAGGTGCACAAAGACGGCGCTCCTCTCCGACCCATCGTGTCGCTCAAAGGGACTCCAACGTACGGACTGGCTAAGTGGCTGTTCTGGCGTCTCAAGTTCCTGACCGCTGAGTCAGACACCACGGCCTCTTCGTCAGCACAATTCCTGGAGAAACTCAAAGGGGTAAGCATCCATTCAAACGAGGTCATGGTATCTTTTGATGTTACATCCCTTTTCACTTCTATTCCCCAGGACCTGGCGATCGAGACAATTGAGCTGCTTCTACAAAGCAAATACGATGAAACAGAGAACCGTCTTGGACACGCCCAAATCCTTCATCTCCTGAAGCTCTGTCTCAGGACGTACTTCTAGTTCGACGGGACAATCTACGAACAGGTGAAGGGCACACCAATGGGTTCGCCGACTTTGGGATTCCTCGCCGAGGCGGTCCTGCAACGGTTAGAATCGCTGGTCTTCCAGCACCACATACCAAAATTTTGGGTCCGGTATGTGGATGATACATTCGTCGTCATCGAACGGGATCAGGTGTTGACATTCCAAGAACCTCTCAACGCCATCTTCCCGGACATTCAATTTACAATGGAGGAGGAAGAGAATGACCAGCTGGCCTTCCTGGATGTCCTCGTATGCCGCAAAGGTTGTGGTGAACTAAAAACCAAAGTGTTCAGGAAAGCAACAAATACGATGCAAGCACTGAACTTCAACAGTGACCACCCAACCAGCCACAAACGCAGTTATGTAAGGACGCTCTATCGGCGTGTCAAAGCGCATTGCAGTGAGCCGGAAGAAAAAATTGCCGAACTACAATGCCTCCAACGGGTCTTCACAGCCAATGGCTACCCGCGCAACTTCGTCGACCGGTACATACTCAAAAGGGACGAAAGGCCTAACCGCACAGACACCAAATCTTGAAGGGCACGTCCGTATGTCACGAACGTTTCGGAATCTGTTGGCCGTCTTCTCGCACCACTTGGGTTTGGATTGGCACACAGACCGGAGGCAACCATCAGGCGTCAATTGATGAAACCAAAAGACCCACTGCCACGGCTAGAAACGTCTGGAGTCGTTTATCGGATCTGGTGCAGTTGCGGACAGAGCAACTGCGTCGGAGAAACCGGAAGACAGCTCCGAACGAGAATGGCCGAACACGCGTTAGCGGTCCGCAGAAATGACGCCAGCTCTCATGTTGCGGCTCATTCGACGAGATCAGGTCACACATTCAAATTCGATGAGGCCGAAATTCTTGCAAGAGGTGACAACCGCGTGAGCCGAGAGCTACTGGAATCATGGTTTACTGGCCCCCAGTCCATCAACAAGTGCAACGATCTTCCCACTTCATACTGCGTGCTAAAATTTCGCCTAGGCGGAGTAAAAAGCCATGCGGGAAGCGCAGAGGTGAACGCTTTTCACAACACCGGGTCGTTGCGTCAGATTGTCGAGCAATCATTACGCCAACATCCAACACACCTGATGAAATTGCAGCAATTATCGACTTGAATGCCGGTCATCAAGCAGTGATCACACCAAGCGCGACGATCCCGGATGAAGGGGGGAGCCGTGAATGTTCATAGGCATGCGGTAGCATGGCTACTGCATCCTATAAATACTGCAACTCCTTATGCAGCAACCACCCGTTCCTGCTTTTTTGTCTCTGATAATGGATTCGAGTAGGAATCCAAAACTTTAGGCTAATAAAGCTCTTGTCCCGGCGATCGTGTCTCCTTTTTCATGACTGTACTCTGCATACGTTTTTTTGAAGGACAAACCGCAACTGTCAGCTTTGCCTGACGGCGTAATGGAAAAGCCCGGCAAAGGTAGGATGTGTAACTCCACTTTTTAAGTAAGTCTGACTGTCTTATTATTCAGGAGACGAGGGGGCGATCGGACGTTGCTATGGACAACTACTACTCAGGCTAGTACAGTTAGGTGGGATGGTGTACAGGGAGTGAAAAGTCGATGAAAAATTATTTTTTTTTAAAATACAGGCGAGGTAATAGCGGAAGGACGCAGACAGTTGTATGTGGTTAGTCAATCTTTGCCCGCGGTAATCGCGGAGCCAGAACCAGGTTCTTCTGGGAGCAAAGGGTCTGTCTTTGTAACCTGATGGCGGCCGCATCTACTGTCGTCAACAGTCGCTGACCCGGTAGTTCAGAGTAGCTCGAGGGAAAATTACAAATTACAAGAAATGGCTCAGTGGGGTCTGGGCGCTGGCCTGAATCCACTGGATGAGCAAGTATGGCGCTGTCTATTCGTCTATTTTACCTTTTGCCAGCCATGCAGGAGAGTGCTCTCGCATTCTTTTGGAAAAGCGCCGGCTCATACGGCCAATATAAACTGCTCAACAAGATCAAGTGAATGAGTGTTTGCACATTGAGGCGGTCTGAGGCGGCAGCCTATCCTTGCCTTATCCGCATAAAATAGGGTTAGTAAGAATGGTATGCAAACCCTTTGCTGCTGGGAAGGTTCCCGGGACAGGTTGGCCAATGCGTCTTCTTATGACTTCACTCGCGGCGTCAAATTGGAAAGGGACTTTGAGGAACAGCGTTTTCTTTTCGGCGGCCAGTGAGTCGTTATAGTCTTACTTTTTTTCGTTAGTAGGACCATTCGGATGTATTCTTAAGGAAATACAAAGATCAAAAATTAAGCGGGGGACAAAAGATACCATTGAGAGATGTAGAAGAAACAGAGAGTTTGTGTCCTAACCGAGAAAAAGAAAGTTTAACTACTCTAACGGAAGACATAAGTAAGTCAATACGCATGGAATCGACAGCGAAAGGCAATACAAGTACATTGGAGCAAATAGAAAATCAAGCCAAGGCAAAGTGATTAGGCCAAGGGGAAGCAAGAACATCATGACGAATATTTAATTACTAAAGAGATCATACTGAAAGAACTCGGCGCACGTAGTAATATTAAAATTCTAGATAACACACAAAGGGAGAATTTCCGTAGCTATGGATTAATGAACAAATGAGGGCCTTCTAAAATTATATAATGATTACCTAAAAATGCAGGATTCAGTGGGTTTATCCAAACAACCCTTACCAAAATCCCTGAAATAATCTGACGCTTGCGTGAAGATCCTCGATGATATCGGTTCCGGCAGTATTTAAAATATACTAACTAAAACAGTCTCAAGGGCAGTGAGGTCTGTGCTGGCTCATATCATCCGTGAGCAATCAGAAAGAAAGTACAAAAAAATTAATCGTTATTTTGGGGCAGCCGTTATCAGACAAAATGAATCAGCTTAAGATTATCGCTTCTTAAATCTCTGCGTTGCGTCTTTATTTCCAAGCTTGTGACAAACGCGCTATGTTTGATTTATGAGTAGACTTCCGGTGGAATGCTAACCGAAATTCTGAAATGCGTTTTTGACTCGAAAAGATTCCTTCAGTGGAGCTTTAAGATTAATTGCCGTGAAGCGTAATATCGAGATATTTTAGGTACCGTAGGATGCCGTCTTTAAGTAGAATACCTTTTCAACTGCCTGCAATATGCAAACCCTCTAAATATGACCACTTAATTAATATAATTTTTTCTTATTGATTTTCGACGCATATGCATAAAACATCCACTTCGTTGTTAATCTGGTAGAAAATTACGTCTAGTTTAAATTTTTTACTTAAAAGAAGAATACAGTGCGTTTTAAACAAGATTCTAATTACGAGATTATTTACACCACGATATGCGCGTTTATAAAACATCGTGTCTTTGTATTTGCTGATATTTTTTGCAAAATTTGCGATATGACTGAAAAACACTATTAAACTTTACAAACCTTACATTGTATTATGTTTGTAAGGCATAGAATACGCCTTAGAACAATAAGGTTTTTTTAAAATAAATTACCTTTGTAAGGAGTGCCTTGATACTGCATTCCGTTGGCGGATGTCTAAGCAACTAAATTTGTTACAGAGTGAAGTCAAAAAGAATTTTACATTTTCGGCCGTTTCTTTTATTTGTTAAAATATACTACTATATTTCGAGCGCAAACGTAAAAAATGCTCTTTTCTTTAAATTGCGGCCTTTTAAGTTGATTTCTATCAACGTTTGCCAGCGTTCTGCGATTTTAAAATGCACAGCGGGGTGGCTATATATGCACTGATCGTTTACTGAAAATATAAGCGTTTTTTTCGTTCCATATCTGAACTAATTTTGTGCAGAAGACAGACTGCATTAAAAGTAACATTTAATATGTTCAAAACTGGAAATTACAGTTCGGTGTTGAATGTTCCTGCGAAAACACGTAGTTCTTTTCATACGGAAAAATAATTTTAGCTAACTGAAGTAAAGGATTGCCTGCGTGCGTTTTTACTGCACTTTACGGGTAGAAATCGCACAAATATGCTTACCTGAGTTATATAAATTGAAAAAAACATGTGATTCATTTAAAATAACCTTTGTTTATGGAAGCTGTTTACCACGGTAACCATCGGACAAAAAATGATTTTTAAGTCCGGCAAAGTCTGCTTATTAAAACACTCTGGAGTAAATGATTATCCTTTCAGAGAAAAACCCCTTTTATGGTCAACCGAAGTCCAAAACAGGTACCAGCATAGGAAATTGTCCGAGTATGCTGCAACGTTCATGTTCGACCGAATTTATGAACAGTTCACATGAAAGAAGTACGTGGACAAGATTTTGACACAAGACGGGGATATATTCCAAAGGAGGCTGAGTGAGCAAGCAAAACGCGCAACGTTTAATACGTCCATATCTTAAATTAAATTCTGTTACACGGTTTCATGAGATAGGTCATGCACTGTACAAAACTAAATCGTCGAATAACCATTCATAGACACCGAAAGTCGCAAAGCATCCACTAATATTTCAAGATAACAATGGAACTTAATAAACCTCAGCATCGGCAGAAAAGTTTTGCAGACAAAACATTCTCCCGCTCTAATCACCTACTGGGCGAACCAAATGTGACATTTTTGCTGGATGTTATTACAATAAAATTCTGGCCTTCGGGATCAAAGGATCATTTTATCGTTAGAAAATTGCAAATCAAGCAATGTTAAAGTGGGCAGTTTGCACACAATTACCAGAAAAAGAGTGCAAGTTTTAGTTTATATCAGTTAACTAACTACCCGACTGCATGATAAACTGATTCTTGATAGATATCATCCTGGAGGATTGTATCAAGTGGTCTTGCAGACATCCGTGTGTTTTGAAGGTTATTTAACTCCGTTATTTGCAAAAAAAATTTTTTGATTCGCTTGCCTTTATACAAGCACAGCGAGGGCCAAATCGCCTGTGTGGACCGCGCAGACGGACCGTTTAAAATTTGCTGAGTCACCTAAGCATCTGGACATCGACCTGCCCACAGAGCAGAGGGAGGAAGAAGT